GTGCGCGGTACAAATGCCGCGCGGGACGGGAGGACGTCTCTGCAGATTCTCTGCGTGCGACGTCACCTCTCGTGCACAACAATGGCTCCTCCCACCAAGGTCGACGATCTCGACGCGTTCTTCCCTCTCCCGTCCGCCGCAGTGCCTTCGCCCCCCTTTCCGGCGCGCCTCCTGGGTGTCAACCCCGCGTCCGGCGCGGCGCTGGTGAGGACCCTCAAGGACAACCACGTCAAGTGGCATGCATTCTTCAACGACCGCGGCTTCCACAAGTGAGTCCCAGCGTGTGCGCGGACCGTGCCGCATGCAGCGCCACTGACCCGAGCTTCGTAGCCACGCTTCCCACCATCTTGTGGCCATCTATGGATTGGGCGCGAGCGGCCCGCTGATCGAGGCGGCCTACGAGACGCACGTAGCATACATGCTGCCCGCGTTGGAGTCCCCAGAGCGCCTCGACGAGAAGAGCTTTTGGGCGCACCTCGGGGAGCAGAGGTACATACTTCCCCCCGCCCCTGTGTTCCAGGTCTATTGCTCATCGACAATGCCAGCTTCTACTCCGCCTACCTGGAGTATTTCAGGGCACAGCTGCGCGAGAAGGACGTCACCGACGTCATCGAAGAGTACATCTTCTCAGTTAGAGCCAACGTCGGTGAAGGCACGCCGCGCATGTTCTCGCGGTTCTTCGCGGCCTTGATCCACCCTATGATCCACATGGGATGTGGCCTAGAGTTCGGCTTCCTGGGGCTGGTCGCGGAAGGTCAGTGGAATAATCATTAAAACAAACGGCGGCACGGCTTACTGAGCACGTCCCCATCGTGGGTAGGTCTCGCCCAGACGGCGGTACACACGTCTCAGGGGAACAATCTGTACCCTGACACTCTGTTCGAGCAGCTCAAGGACGACACTACCGAGGCCGTCGCACGTCTTACCGCGTTGCTGCCCTCGCTCTCTTTGAGCAAGGCAGAGCTGACCAACGGCGAGACGAGTACTGGCAAGACCAGCGTGCACGCCTTCACCATCCTCGCGCGAATTTTGGCGGACGACAAGTACTCCCCTGCCACCCTCGGGTTGCCGGTCACTGTTGGCAACAACTTTGAGCGCGTGAACGACACAGTCGGCAGTGCACTCGCTGATCTTGCTGCGGAGTGGACGGCGGGCCTCGATGGCGAAGGTGCGACCCCCACCGCGATCGCGGAAAAGATCGAGGAGGTAGCATGGATGAATGCGCTCCTGTACGGCGTCGGAGGGTGGGGTGGACGGGAGCGGTCGCCCAGCAAGACGTTCAACGCCGACTTCTTCTAGTGAGTCTCTCCGAAATCTGCGTCGGCGTCCCATGCTGATCCAAAACGTTCAGCATGCACCTCGTCACCTCCTCGCTCTTCCTGCCCTCGTTCGTCGCGTACCTGTCCCCGCGCAGCTCCGTGCTCCTCCTGCGCGGCTACTTTGCGATCAGCATCGCCTGGTTCGTTTCCCAAGGCCGCTGCGCGCTCCCCATCCGCGAGTTCTACGAGAAGACGACCGCCATGCCGGCCCCACCCCAGACCGCGGGTGCTCAGGCAGCCCCGACGAAGGGCACGCTCATCCCCGACGTCGTCGCCCCGAACCCGTGGCTCCCAATCGTGCAGACGACCATCGCCCACCCGGGCGAGCACGTCTGCAAGGTCCAGCGCGCCCTCGCGCACAACGCAACAGCATACGCGACGCGCGGAGCCGGGTCCTTTGCTGGCACGGGGCTGGAAGGCGCGGAGCTTCTGGACGCGACGCTTTTCGTTCGCGCTGCTGGTTTGACTGCCGACAGGATGGGGTGGATGAAGGAAGGGCAGGCGGAGGGCGGGTGGGACCGCGCGGGCTTCAATTTCTAGACAAATGTTGGCCGATCTAGTGTGCTCTTCTGCGAGGAGCTTTAGCGTGTACGTTATAGGGATCCCCGCTGAGTGGGTTCTTTGGATGTATCATACCCATCTGTGCGTCATTGTGAAGTTGTTGGACTTTGCTCCTAGTGCGTGATGGAGTGGCCGTACCAGAGGACCAGTAGGTACTTCTCCGACGAGCGGGCCTAGCTTATGTCGGGGCGGGAAGAGTACTAGTACTCGAGTAAGCAGTGTGTGCATACAGGACGAGAACAAATTCGGGTTGATCGTGTCAGTATAAATCAGACTCGCGCTCGAGACTCCAGTTACGTAATATATCTGCCTCTCGCTCCGTCGCTCCGTTGTGTCACAATTCTACACTCGTTGAAGTCGCACCAGGTGTATAGCAAGGCTCTGGAGTATCATGGGCATCCAGGTTTGATAATAAAAGTCTGAAGAACTCGTACGTACTCTGTCGCTCCCTGTTCGCGCCCTCCGGATTATAGCAATCAACACGCTACTAATGGTTTCCCCAGGATCGCATCTGGATTCGACTTGGAATCCCCGGGCGACAGTGGCTAGTGCTTGCTCATATTTGCCATGCCACCGCAGTCCAAACCCGCCGTCAAGGAATCCGCCGCGATCCAGAAAGAAAGACGCATCCTTCTTTTGCTCTCTTGGACTGCGACGCTGCTCACACTGGTGTTGACGACAGTCTCCTCTCACCTCCCGCTCTTCGATGTGTCCCCTCAGGTTCTCTTGCCTGGCCCGCCACGTTTCTCTCTTCGGCATGTCCTTGCGTCTGCGGTTCTCCGTTGGGATGCCTTTCACTTCGGACACATCGCCAGGGAGGGATACGTGTACGAGAACGAATGGGCGTTCCTTTCGGGCGTGCCCTACGTGATGCGTGCCGGGGCCACACTCCTACGCTTCCTCGGGCTGCTACCAGACGAAGGTGCGCTGGGGTGGGAGCACGCCATGTTGGGTGGCTTGCTCGCCTCCGCCGTGTCCGTCTGGTCTGTGCTTGCAATGTACGACTTGACGCTGCTGCACTTTCGCTCGCGGCCCATTGCGCTGCTCGCATCTCTGTTATCGCTGCTCCCAAGCAGCCCCGTGACGCTGCGCATCGCTGGGTACACGGAGACGTTCTTCACGTTCCTTTCGTATCATGGTAGGTCGGTGCATGACGGGCAATGTTGCCACAGTGTTCATTTGCGTCCCTGTCCTAGGTATGTTATACTGTGCAAGGAAACAGTGGTTGCGAGCTACATGCTGCTTCTTACTCGCCACCGTTCTCCGTTCCAATGGCATACTACTGTGTGGCTTCGTCGCATGGGGCCTCATCATTGAACCCCTGCTTGAGCGCAGATCGGTACGCTATTCCCATCCCGCACCACCGAAGATACTTGATAGCACGCCTTGACCTTGACAGATCCGCCCAACACACGTACTCTACGGAGCCACCTTATCCGCGCTTACCATCTCCCCGTTCGTCTATCATCAGTACCACGCATACACGCTCTTCTGCCTCGGGTCCGGCCCACCAGCGTTCTGGTGCAACGCCGTCCCGCCCTCGATCTACACCTACGTCCAGTCCCGATACTGGAACGTCGGCTTCCTGCGATACTGGACGCCTCAGCAGCTTCCCAACTTCCTCCTCGGCGCGCCGCCCCTCACCCTCCTCTTCGCGTTCGCCCTGCACTACATCCGCCGCGCACTCCTGCCACGCCTCGCCGCACTCGCCGGCCCGCCTTCGCCTCCGCAGAAATCGCCGCCCTTCCTCCCGCGCTCGATCGCCCCGCACGCCGTCCATGCGCTCGTGCTCTCCTTGCTGCTGCTATTCGCATCACACACGCAGATCGTGCTCCGCACGGCAGCGTCCATGCCGTTCACGTACTGGGCCGCGGCGTGGCTTGTCGTCGAGCACTCGCGCTGGGGACGCTGGTGGGTCGGCTGGAGCGTGGTGTGGGGCGCGGTCAGCTGTGTGCTGTGGGCGGTGTTCTTGCCGCCCGCGTGAAGCACACAAGCGTGAACAGGAGTTGGAGGGGAATTGCTGAACTAGCCGTGCTGGATGGTTCATGTCCATTGTGATATTATCGAGCGCGTAAAGCTCTATGGAGCCCCGGACGTGCGGGGTTGTAATCTCACTCGCGTCTTCGCATGACCGGACTTCTTGGGACAAAGTATAAGGGGTAAATTAGATCTACGGTGTGTAGAGTAAGAGCACAGAAAGGTTCGTCGTTGTATCCGTGAGCTCGCGCGGCGGTGGGCGACAGCAAGGTTTCAGGGCTCCAAGATCGGGAACTGGGTCTACCAGTCAAGCTGTTCCCGGCTGGAGCCCTCGCTCATATTACAGCTCTGCACATGTTCTCTCAGCCGAAATCGCTCGCGCACAAGGACGAAGAAGGCGGGCAGCACTCACGCGCAACAAAGCCCACACGTCAAGCACGCAATGGCAGCAGCTATCGCATCGAAGATGGCTGCCGGAGCGTTGAGCTCGGCGCAACATCGACGGTGACATCCTCAGAAACGCTGGCGCACTCACCGACGAAGACACATTCGAGACAACCGACGACGACGCCGACGACGGCCATGATCGCGTCCGCGATGCATGCGAAGACGCCTGCCGACCCGTAAGTACTTTCCCATTTACTTCCGAGGGGCGCTTCTGACCTACTATACACGAGATGATGATGCTGCATGAGGTCGAGGCGTGAGTCGCGTCGGACGCACCGACGACCGCAAGCAGACGCACCCCATGTTCAGATTGTCAGTACAAGATCGAGGTGAAAGCGTGGGGGATATGATGTGACCGGGCTCCCCTGTGTTCCAGTCCGCTGTCTTTTATGTGGCGCGCACCGGGGCGCATGGTGACGTCGTTCTCCAGCCAGGGATGTACTCCCCGGAAGGTCCCTCTGGTATATTTGTACTGCTGGTGTGGTTCCGTTCAGGGCGTTTGTGCTGCGCTCACAACTCCGAGTGTCCCCACCATCCTGCGTGTTAGCTCCACGGGATGCCGATGAATGAGGAGCATCTTGCCGAGCTTAAAGGATGCATTGCATAGAGTGACAAGGCCTGTTGACGTACGACGTTCAACCAGGTCGTGGTGAGCACTTTGAGAAACATATGTGCATGTTTTTGTGTTCTTACCACGCCGGGATAGCTCAGCTGGGAGAGCAACAGACTGAAGAGTGGGAGCACACCCGCTGTCTTCTGGAGGTCGCGTGTTCAATCCACGCTCCTGGCATTTCTCTTTTGTCTCTTTCGTCATCGATATTCAACAGTCAAGGCTGCACCACGTATTTTTAAGCTGATGAGATTGCGTTCATCGGCGAGATCGATTAGTAGCAAGTGGCTGAGGGTTTTCAAGTTCTGGCTTTCTGTGGGTAAATGTCGATAGTGATGGAGCACAAAGGCCCCCCTACTACATCGCCGCGCACAGCGAGAAAGACCACATTTAACTCCGTGGCGTACCAACACACTCATGGTCACTTCCAAGTGATCAAGCTGCGTGAAATGTCGGCACCGTACTCTGCGAAGAAACCACTCGCAGTAGCGCATCTCACCGCACATGTGAGAGGTGCACACCTGGACCCACGCTCGCGGAAACATTATCCAATGGTGTATAGCAAGTAGTAGTAGTACACAGAATCCATCCAACAGGAAAGCATATCTATGATACAACGATCACCTCGTGCAGTACCCCTGCGAGCCATCCGGCAACGCCCACGACGACCTCTCACATGAGAGAGCCAGCCGCCGCGACGTGCGTTCCGCAAACGAGGCGTGACAGGGAGCGTATAGGTAGGTCTAGAAGGATGTGGTGTCCTCAGAACGGCCACGACGACGAGAACACGGCGGTCTTCTCGACGACCCAAGAGAGCCACGGCCAGTCGTCGTCATCGCCATCGTCGCCGTCGTCGCCATCGCCCGGCGCGGGGTCGGCAGGAGGAACGGGGGTGCCCTCCTTCTGGCAGTCCGTGTGGACGGAGAAGCCGTTCTTGCGGACTCCTCCGCCCCAGGGGCTGCGGTTCTTGACGTCGGCGTCGACGCCGAGACCGCGCGAGGCGAAGCCCTCCCACAGCGCGCAGAAGTTCTCGCCCCCGGTGAGCGTCTTGTCAGCGGCGATGATGGCGTCGCGGGCGTTGAAGAACGACGGGCGGCACGGCTGGAGCTTCATGCCGTCGAGGACGAGCTGGACGGCGAGCGAGTTGCCGTGTTTGGGCACGAGCGGCTTCTTCTGGCCATCGGCGGTGAACTCAGCCTTCCGGTAGAAGTCGCCCTCAGGAATGGTACCGTCCGCGAGGGGCTTCGGCGGGAAGAGATCGTCGACGAAGCCGTGCTTCTCGATCAACTTCTGAGAGACGACCCAGAGGATCTGTGCCCAGACCTCGCCGATCGCATGCACGCCCCAGTAGCCCGGTTTGTCCAGCGTCTGGTAGGTGGAGGGGTTGACCGTCTCGTTCTACACAAAAAGTTAGCGGATCGCACAACTACGATGGTAGTCGACTGCGCGTACCAGAGAGTACGGGTAGTTCCTGATACCGTTGTCCCTGTTAGCAGCCCATGAACCCATGGCGTAGTCGGAGTAAACCTTGTTGCTACGGATGGTGGTAGCCAAGAAATCTGTGAAACCCCATGAAAAATGACTCATAGTTAATGCCAGTTGCAGACTTACCACCCCAGCCTTCGCCCATTCCACCAGCTTCGCCCCAACCGAGACAGCCAGAGTTGGCAGGGCCACCAGTGAGACGAGTGCTCAGCCCGTGGCTCAGCTCGTGGATAACGATCCCGGCCTCCAGGTCGCCATCGCGATAGGGGTTGGCAGTGTTCCAAAGGTACATCCGGCAGCGACCGTTCTGGCCGTCAGGCGGGGTCATGAAATTGGCGTTGTTGTACCCGCTGCCGTCCTGCGCGTTTGCGATGACAGCGTCGTTCTCCCGACCACCACGCCCGAAGTTATGCTGCTGGAAGTTACCCGCTACCTCGTTGAAGCCATAGCGGTAGTATAGATCGTGGACCATGTTCGACGTGTAGAATAGCTGCGTAACGGTCGCGTTGATATACTTCTGAGCCTCCTCCAGAGCGTCCTCCGTCGCCGTCTTCTTGGGGGAATAGGTGAAGTTGAACGCCTTGCTGGCACCTGCATCTGGACGGTAGTTGTTCACCCAGTTGTTGCGGCCCTCCCAGTCTTCATGGGCGAACACGTTGTTGCCCCAAGTCGTCGCCGTCTTACGGATCTTTAATGGGTCCTTCGACCTAACGGAGGGAGATTGAGGGTCGACAGAGTACGGCAGAGCGTGCCAGCCCAGAGGGGATGCGAGGGAGTCGAAGTTCTCCTTCTCGATGGAGCGCTCACCAACCGACGGATCGTTGATACCCCAAGCAAAGACGTTGTACGACGCCGCGACCGGCTCGGACGGGACAGGAGCGAGAGGGACGGGAGAGTCAGAAGCCCAGTCAACAACGGTGACGATACGATGAGGGGCCTCGGCAGAGACGGCGGCCTCATACCAATTATCCTTCATCTCGACCTCGAACTGGAGGATATTTGAATAACATGACAATCATCGAGTGCACAGCTACTCACCTTGTAAACCAGCTTCAATGACGTTGAATCGCCATCGGGCACCTGGACGAAGGCAAGACGTCCCTTGACAGGACTGACTGTATCCGGAACGTTGTCGACGGTGAAGACGGGCTGCTGAGACATATGGTGTTGGAAGGAGACGTGCATGTCAGGGACAAACTGGCCGGGGTTCTCCAAGATCTCAAGCTGCAGAGCGTCGTTGGAAGTGGCAGCCAGCATGAACTGCAAAAGAGCGCGAGCGATATCGCCAGAGGCAGCATCCTCTGAAGCAGCGAAGTCGGGGTGGCCCTGCATGTAGTCGGGCGCGTCAACGAATGCGCAGTTCCACTCCGCCAGGAGCATCAGTTGTTGCAGGGCGCTGGAGGGCTTGCCCATGTCATGGCGGACAGGCTCCAACTGAGCTCTGATCTCATCTTCCAGGGACGCACAGTACTGCGAATGAGGGTCAACTTGGTTATCGACCGCGTCAGCGACGGTGAACCTGTTGGCATCCTTTGGGCGGAAGAACTATGCACAGCATGTGAGAAACTTTTGGGACGTGACGTCGGCTCTCCCTTTCGCTGAGCGAGGGAGAGGCCGATAAGGAGGGTGGCAGCTCACCGAATCCCCATAGGACAGGACAACACCATCCTTGATGTTGACATTGATGTCGCCGTCAGCAACCTCGATACCGTTCACATATTGGCGGGCATAGACATGCGTGACGCCTGTCGCCTCGTCGGTATACGAGTCCTCGCGGATGACAAAGTCGCTGCCGGGGATGTCGCGAACAAGGTCGTCAACGAAGAGCTTAGCGACCTGATACGGGTCGTCGGAAGCGCGAATCAGGCTGGCGTGGTATACGGGGTTGGTGTGATATGAGGCATGGGGGAGGACAGGACCGAAGCTAAGGGTCTTGCGACGGGAGAGCTGGTGAGAGTCATGGGCGAGAGTACCAGCGAGGCCTGCGGCGGCGATGGCAGCGACGAATAAACGACGCATGGTGAATGAGAGACGAGAGGTAGCAAGTAGGAGGTGATGAAGATGCTCCCCAACGGCGAAGAGGGGGAGATGGTGGATGGGAGGGAAGGAGCGAGCTGCGTATGTCGCCCCTTATCTACCCCGCGCCATGCGACGCTGGCAGTCCATTTATGGCGAGACAAACGGCTCACGTCCCTCCATCACGACGCGACGCGCACCCCCAGACATACTGACGCCCATATCATATGACTCCCTCCGAGGATCCACCAGTGCTATCCGCCCTCTCGACAGTACTCAGGCCCACATTGTCCGAACAGAGACCCGCTCATACGCAAAGGCGTCCAGATATGTCTTGCTGTGTCCCGGTCGGCCCATGTCTGGCGCCAGTGCAGCCCCTTCCGAGTGCATCCGATCCTCCGTACCCCGTTTTGGGTCGTGTGCGCAGCCTGCCTGCCCCAACATGACATCCTGCATGTATCACACGAGCCGGGGTCTCTTCCTTCTCCTGGCTGAGCAGTATACCCACATGCTATGTATCGGGATTGAATACGTACACGTCCTGATATCTGGTCATATGTCGTCTCCCTGCAGCTGGATGTAATTCTTTCACCGTACTTGACAGTTACTTGAAACTGGATATTGGTAGTTACCCATTTGCCTTCCACAATCCAGATACCTTGTTACCGTGCTCGCCACGGTCTCATGCTTTCTGAATCACCGTCCTTGCATTGCTAGATCATCCACATGCTTCACTCGTTAACAGTTTATATATTCTTGATCGTTTGCGGTTGAGGTCATCGCCAGTAATTGTTACACACGTAATTACTAGTACTACGCCACTGGTGCCCTGATTCATCCGCAACTCGCCGTCTCCTTTTCAACTTGTCTTGCCTGCCAAGAAAGTCGTAGCCGAGGACGGATAGCTCCTGAAATCACTACCACTATCACTGAAGATCCGCTGATGACGATGTTCAGTGGATTTGACCCTCGCCCCGCATATAAGCGGAGCGCATAGCGCTCCCATATCTTTTGTCACAGGAGAGCGCAAGAAGTAAAACTCATTTACAGCTCTACAATCAATCAATTCGCAAGAGAGTACCCGACCTCGCCACGGACGCCCTCCTGCAACTGCACAATCCGCTCCAGCATCCTCCTCCCGCGAGCGTCCAGCGTCTCCGCGAACCGGTCCTCCTTCATCCACTCCAGTCCGTGCTGCAAGACGTTGCGCGCCCGAGCGGGTCCCCCGAGGGTCTCGCCCATGCACGCGTGCAGCGTGACGCGCGGGGCGTGCGGGTCGTACGTCGCGCAGTGCAGGATGTTGTTGTTGTAGAAGACGGTCTCGCCGGGGTGGAGCGCGACGCGGATCGCGCCGGGCATCGCGAGCGGGTCCGTGGGTGGATCGAGCGTGGAGGAGTGCGCGCGCTGTTCAGGCGTCCGGGGGCGCTTGTGCGAGCCAGGGACGATGAAGAGGCACGAGTCTTCGCGGAGTGCGCTGCGCGACGCCTGAGTGGGATCACTGAGCAGGTTCGCGAGTGTGTCTTACGTGTTCCATTGAGTCTGTGGGGTGAGCGTGAGTGTGGGCTCAAGTGTCGCTTATCGCAGGGGGACCGTACACCGTGGTGCCAGATGCTCAGTGCTATGCGCTCCTCGTCCTCGGTGGCGGTCTCGCGCACGTCATCGCGATGCCACCGGAGTGC